CCAGGGGCAACATATTCCAAAGTGCGGGGGCTACCACAGAGAAATTAATACTATAACTACATAGATCACAGGGATGTTCTTGGTGTTAAATTTTCAATAAAATGAATAAATTGATTTCTTGCCCAGAGGTGTTATTCTTAATATTTTGTTAACACCTGTAGTACTAAAGTAACCTTTCTTTTATGGTTTGGAATCTTTTCCTCAATGATGATGGGTGGCAAATAACTAGGTATTTCCATATTGTCTCTTAACTATTAGCTGTTTATGTGATTGCTTTCTAATTATTCCAGAGCAGTTCTCCATAATCTGCTGTTTATTTTCTAGTTCTAGTTTGTGTATTTGCTGTATTTAAATGAAGACTGAATTTTATTTTCTTCTTTGTTTTTCAAAACTCTGAAACAGTGAGACAAAATTTATTTTGCAATTGCTTTCACTTTCGTCTGGACAAATAGAGGATTTCTGTCCCCCTTTGTGCTGCCAGTCTTCTGACCTCTTTGAATCTTGTTAATGATTTTAAAACTTGCCTTTAACTAAGGATCATTAATTTGAATTAAGAAAAATTTCATGTTACAGCATCGTTGCAGAGATATATTCCTGCTCAGGAGAAACAGGAGCCTTTGTAGTGCAGTTTGGGCCTCCTGAACAGAGGTTAGGTTTGAGGGGGTTGCTCAAGAGAAAGGAACCAAGCCTCTCAGAGGCTTTCTCTGCTGTGTTGCGTACTGGTAATTCTGTGTCACTGCCAGCTTGGAAGATGCTAGGGGAAAAAAAACCCCTAATATTTCAGGGGGGAAAACAAGAATTTAGGGGAACCCAGGAGCAAGAGGGGCAAGTTTTTTTTTCTTTTTTCTTTTTTCATTTATCTATTAGTGGCTTTAGAGTTGGAAAGGGAAAAGAGCACCCTTCAGAAAATAGGTTGACATAAAACAAGGATTTTTTTACTAGCCCTTCCAGGATTATATTAATTAATTCTGCCATATTATTGTTGATTTGGCCTTGAGGAAGACAATTTTCTGTATTTTCATTTTTTTTTAAAGTGAGCCTAGTTGATAGGCTGTTACTATTTCCCCAGTTTTCGCCATCTTTATTGCCTGGTCCCTAGTGTGTCATCCAGGATATCATTGCTTCCACCAACACATTCCTTGTTGACTAACAAATTCCATGGTTCTACTTATTTTTGAAATATTATTTTAGTTTTAAAACCATGAATGGGAGCCTGGCATCCAGCAAAAAAACATCCTCAAGCATGATTTCATTTTCTACAATGCTTTTGGCCCTCATATAGGCCTCTTGTATAAAATAAGAGGCATAGCTACAACCCACTGCTTCATTTACCTTTTGCTATAAAGTGTTTTGTAGTTGGCCAAACATACCATGTAGTTTGCGAAGAGAGATCTCTTTGGAGAAGACCCTGATGCTGGGAAAGATTGAAGGCAAAAGG